TGTAGGTAAACATCATTTCTTTATTTAATTTGTATATATCAAGGTATACATCGTGAAAGAAACAACATCTTTCATATGCAAGTACAATGATTTAAATGCTAACTTGCCTATAGTAACTATTTGACTAATATTGAAAAGAAAATTTAAAACACTATATTTTGTCAAAAGGTACTAAGCAGCTATGAATACCTACTCAGTATTAAGGGAAGAGATGTCGGGTAATAAAGATATTAATTTCTGAATACATTTAGGATAATTATATTTACATTGAATAAATATATTAGCAACTATGTTAGGTAGGTCAATTATAATTTCTTCAGGAGAGATAATGGTTGGTTGGGTTTCGGCTTGAGAATCGTGATTGTTGGATGGTTTATAAGAGCGAGATGGTGTGAAAGATTTGTCGAAGTTAATAATGTTTTAAATATTATACAAATTTATACAAATCTTATATATAAATTATTTGCTATTAAATCAATTCACAAAATTCTCAACAACAACTCTTTCCATTGATACTCTAACCACTACTCCAAAATGACATTCAACAGTTATCTTGTCTTATAACTGTTTAAAAAAGTCAGTATACTTTCTTTAAAATATCATGCTGGATAGAGCAGGAGTTCTATATTCACCTCTTTATTATCTCTTTTCTTCTCACCTTCTGGTTAAATATTATTCTATTTAAAAGTTTGAAGAAACTTGAATTTCTTATAGCAAGAAAAATATTCTTAAAAAAAGAATTATATTCTTGATTTCTCCCTTCTTTTTATCTCTTAGTATAGGCAGATCTAAGGTTAAAGTTTACCACAGGCTATGCTATAGCAGGCTCTTGTCCTCAAGTTGGATTTTATTAGATCCCAAGTTTCTCCCTCGCTGTGTATCAAAAATTTTCATTCTTCTGGAGGATTTTGTTTATCTCAGTTTGACTCTAATAATTTGGTTATATTGGATTTGCTGAAAATCGATTGGTTGAATTCTAAATTGGACAACAACTACATATAAAAGAAAAAGATAAACAAGAGACACATGTTGAAAATGTATTTCCTAAGTGACATAAGAATCTTAGGTTTACTATATGACATAATGGTATATGTGAATAAATAACCAACATATCCCTACATTATATACATATTTGATGATGTCTTGGAAATGCAAAAGAGTTTAATGATTTTTAAATATAAACAAGATGAACAGAATGTTTTTTCCTATAGGTTTTTTGATTCTGATTCATGGTTTGTGGAGAGCCACAAACTGTAATCCAGTTAGTATGAACTTCAACATGACTCCTTCTTCTAAAAAAGTAACGACTCATCAGTAATACTCACTATTCTTATTTGTAGTGAAAATACTTAGTTGGTAACATTTGCCAGAATAGAAGACTTACCTAAAAACTTAACTTGATTTTGGAAGAATTGTATCTTTTTAAATAAGCAGCTTATACTTGAAGTCAAGTATTATCTAAAAAATTGAATTGTTAACCCTGCCATAAATTTTAAGATATTAGCTAGACCTAGGTTCTATCCACTTTTCAAGTTGTAATTCTCCAGGCAGTCACCAAGATGAGGAAATATTTCAAGATGCTGGCAAGGATAATAGTACTAAGTTTCCATCTGTGTATGAAAGGATTGTATTTAGATTATGATGAAACTTTATTTCCATGGGTGCAAGAAATAAATAATTGAAATCATGCCATCTAGCTAATACAATCACTCCAGAAAGGTAGTGACAATTGAATCTGGAGCCTTGGGCAATTGGAATAGAACCAATTATACATATGGGTTCTGATCTATCAAAAAGGTGGTTATCATTTTGATTACACAAAAAATTTTTTTTGTGTAAACATATTTTCTGTAGAGAAAACTGCTAAAAATATGCTTATGCAAAAAAAAATTTTTGTATAACCAAAATAATAACCACCTTTTTGATAGATCAGGACCCATATGGTGTAAATTATTTTGCTGTTGACTCAATTTCCAAAATTCTCAAAAATAATTGTGTCATGACTTAATTATTTATATGTTTTAATAGTGACTCAATTAATTGCATCAAATAATTGCGTCAATTGCATCAAGGATCTACAAATTTCAGCAACATGTATAGAACCAATAAAGCTAGGCACTGAAACTATTCCCTTTCATTGTGGCCTTAAAAATTGATAAAGAAGAAGTCTCCACTTCTCCCTCTTGAAAAGAACAGAGACATGGTACTCTGATGGATAATCTGTTAGGTATTGAGGAATCTTAATAAAAAAGTTTACAAATTTGAGATTGAAAAGTATAAAAAAGTTGGTTTATAAATAATTTTTTTTTAGGAATTAGTAGTACTTGATAAGACCGATTAATCAAGTTTATATACAATAATATTAAATAAATATCAACAGGTTTCATATAGTGATCTATTATATTATTGCAAACATTTTTTTTAATTGTATAAAATTAGGTAAGTAAATATGATATAATTTTATTATTGTATATTTAATAAACATCAAGATATATTATACTAAAATTTGCTGTCATTTCATTTTGTCATTCAAAAGTTATATAAGAAAACTCACAAAGTTAGTTTTTTTTATTAAACTAGTTTTTTTTTTATTTTTTTATTATTTTAAAAAAAATTTTTTATAAAAAATAATATAATTACATTTTAGTATTTTGTAGGTTTTCTCTTAACTCTAATACAAGTAGCAATCTAATCAGGTATACTTATGATTAGCTTGTTGCAATATTTTGATGATATATCATACTATACTTGCTTGACAAGAATGTTAAGTTGACTAAGATTATTTGGTTTTGGCTTACAAATTACTGATTTTTTTACCTTGATTCAAAGATTCTTGATTGAATTGAAATTGAGATTTTGTGAAAGCCAATTCATTGTACAAATTCTATTCTTATTAATGAATTTCAAAGCTATCTTGACAGTATATGATCTTACATTGTCCTACTGAAAAAATAAATAACAATCCTTATGATCTTCAAAATTTACTAAGACAGATAAAACATATTTTTGTAGAATATTGATATGTGAAATACTAGTGGCAGTAGAATTCAATAAAACAAATGATCCAATACTATATCAGGAAAAGTAACTTCAATACATGCAATCCAGGCTATACTTGATAATATTATCCAAGTATTTAATATGTCATTTTTCATGTAATTCATGTTAAGCTTGACCAGAAGAACCTAGAAAAAAACAAACATTGATTTTATTACATAACAAAACTTTCTGATAAACAAATCTTTATAGACAAAACACCAGTCAAGTCTTTTTTTCTTATTTTTGGAGGTGACAAATTGTTTTGGACAAATAATATAGGATCTCGGGTTTTTACTATATAAGGCATGGCAAATAATATTTTTGGAAACAGGATTTTTTTTCTTTTTTAAGCATTGAAAAGATTAATAATTTGGGCTAGGTTAAGATAACAGTTGCTATTGATAACCAGATTTTTGGGATTGATGCAATCAAGAAGGTTAGAATTTTAGAATAACCAAAACAATTCTTGGAAGGAGGCTCCAAAGTACTTGACTCACAAAACTTTTTTATAATATTTCATACAAAAGATCTTCTACAATTAACAACTGCTACAATAACACAAATCAATTTTTTTTGAAATAGTTGTAAATTATAAAACTCTTTTGTCCTTTGATAAGGTTTTTCTTACTGTCCATTTTTTAAGACAATCCATTATAAACCACTGATTATTCAAAAAAAAAAGATCTAATTAATATAAACATATATCTTTTTTGATATCGTACATATTGTTTAGGTAATGAAGAATATTCTGAAGAAATTTGATATATAACTTCAAAACAAAAAAAAAAAGTGAAAAAAAAACCTTCTGGTTCTATTTTTAGATTTATTAAATAAATTGTAAAAAATTTAAATTATATTTATTTGTTAGATTTAAAATAATTAAAAAAAAAAGTGTTTACAATAATATGGTAGATTACCATAAAACTTTATTTCCTTGAATACAAAAAATAAGTAATTGAAATTATTTATTCTAACTAATATAATTATATTAAAAAAATAGTAACAATTAAATCTGAAATCTTGGGCAATTGAAATAAAATCAATAAAATTGGTTACTAAAACCATTTCTTTTCTGTTTTAATGTTATTAAAAAAGAAATCTTACCTTTTCTTCTTTGAAAAAAACAAAAATATAATATTTCAATAAATAATTTATTGGGTATTAAAGAATTTTATTGAAAAAGTTTACAAATTTGAAATTGGAAGATATATAAAAGTCTGGTTTATTTTTAAAATTTTTTGGAATCAATAGTATTTAATAAGATTAATCAAAAAATACTATTGCTTATGCTGATAACAATCCTTACAATAGAACATAGTTCTTAATGTTATTTAAACTATTGTATTTTAAGTTAATTAAATTTTAGATATATTGAGTATCAACAAGAAAACTGATATATATTTTTCTGTAAATGTTATATACTTGTTTGGCTACAAAAAAAAAATAGTATACAAATTAATTAAAGTAAAAAAAGTTAATTATTAATTTAATATACTGTATATTAAGATTTTTTTTAATTATAAATTTTTTAAAAAAAATTGGATTTGAAATCCATTTAAATAATTTATGGAAATAAATAATACAAAAAAAATGTTTATTTTTTTTTATTTCAGGTTTTTAATTACGTATTTAAAAAATGATAAAAACAAATTTTACTTTTTACTTTTACTTTAATTTGGTATTTATAATATTCAAATTATTCAAATTTCGTGATTTTTTACAAGTTCCTCCATCTTTTTAAAAACTTTTGTTGGTAATCCAATTACATTATAATAACAACTTGAAATAAATTATTATTATTATTTGCATGATATTAAAAATATAAATAATATTTATTACTTACCCATTTATTTTTTCAATAAATAAGCTGCCAAGTGCCTGGTAACCATACGACCCTTTAAACAAGAATAAATATATTAACAATTGGGGGTTTTTTAAAACATATTTAATACATTTCTCATTCAGCAACACATGCCTGCTTTATCCATGGGTTCACCACTGTCTACATATTCACGCAAATATTCATCACTATTATCTCTGAAGACTACTTCAGTCTCTTCTACGAAAGTCACTAACTCATAACCAGGATAAACTGGCTCGGCTAAAGGATAAATCAAGGCAACGCCAGTATATACACGGTGTGCACGGTTATTGAGTTTTTTGAGCATTTTAAATGCATCATCTTTGTCTATAGGCTTTTCTAAAATTTCGCCATCTAATGAAACTACAGTATCGGCAGCGATCACTAAATCCACATCCTTGTCCTCTTGCTTATTAATGTGAGGATTAAGTTACTTTATAAAAGAAACTAATTTTGATATTAAAAATGATGCCTACTGCCAAACGCCCATAAACCTCCAAACCCTTTTCGGTAGCAGTTTCTAGTGCATATTCGAAGGGGCTGTATTTTGATTTATCCAAATTTTCGGAAAAATTGCTGACTATTACTTCAAATTCTATTCCCTATTTATTTGAAAAAAAAACGGAAACAAAAAAAACGAGTTTCTTAATTGCATAACTATTATTGTATAAAATTAAACTTACCAAGAGCTCAAGAACCTCCTTTCTTCGTGGTGATCCAGAAGCAAGAATTACTCGTTTATCCTTGAGATGATTAACAAATGAAAACGGCATTTTTGTATAGATGAATGCCGAGTATTTTCTTTTTATAATTTAGTACTTCGTGCTACAATGTGCCGAATCTGTGGCTTCAACTTTAATCTTTACTCGATCAAGTTTATACAGTACAGTAGTATATGAATAATATAAAAATATTATTATATACAATATTTTTTTCGACTTTTATTTATATGGAATTTAAAAGAGATTAAAAAAAAATTGAAAGTATTTTGAAATATATACTTTTTTTATAGTTTCAATAGAAAGTTTGAAACTAAAGAACTTGAAGAAATAAAGTGTTTTATTTGAAGAATCTTTTCACCTACTGAAAAATCTTATGTCTATTTCTTTTGACAAAACTTTTTTTTTCTTTTTATTTAATTAGAGATTTCTTTATTATTATTTTTTTTTAAAAGTTTTTTTAAAGTTTTTTTTCAAAGTTTATGAATTTATTATAGAATTTATAGTTATTTAATATATTTTATAAGCCAGCTTTAATAAACAAAAAGTACTCTGTAAGTTATTTCCATTATATTGTATCTTTTAATTGTTTTTTTGATTTCTTCAAATATTTTTTTTGTTCAAAAGTTTAATACATAATAATACTTGTGCTTAATCTGGTATAAGTGAAATTTTGAATTATTAAAACATTTGTATAATCTGAATATTAAACTCTTTAATAATTAAAAAATGTTTTTTCCTATATATACAATATATGTTAAGTATTTATACTAATTAGTTAAAGTATAATTTTAAAGAAAAAAATTAATAAAAACAGTAAGAACTTTTTTTGGGGGGGTTTTCCCAGTAGGTAAACATCATTTCTTTATTTGATATTGTATATAACAAGATATACATCATGAAAGAAACAATATCTCTTGAGTACATTGTATACAACAAGTTAAATACTAGCTTGCCTACTTTTACAATACCTAACTAATATTGTAAAAAAATTCAAAATCAATATTAATGTGTTAGATAAGAC